GTGTGTATATATTGTGTAGGTGTGTGTGTGTATGTATGTACTGTATGTGTGTGTGTATATGTGTGTATATATATATATATATATATATATATATATATACACACACAGTCAGGTCCATAAATATTGGGACATCAACACAATTCTAACATTTTTGGCTCTATACACCACCACAATGGATTTGAAATAAAACGAAATGTGCTTTAACTGCAGTCTGTCAGCTTTAATTTGAGGGTATTTACATCCAAATCAGGTGAACGGTGTAGGAATTACAACAGTTTGCATATGTGCCTCCCACTTGTTAAGGGACCAAAAGTAATGGGACAATTGGCTTCTCAGCTGCTCCATGGCCAGGTGTGTGTTATTCCCTCATTATCCCAATTACAACGAGCTGATAAAAGGTCCAGAGTTCATTTCAAGTGTGCTATTTGCATTTGGAATCTGTTGCTGTCAGCACTCAAGATTAGTTCCAAACAGCTGTCACTATCAGTGAAGCAAGCCATCATTAGGCTGAAAAAACAAAACAAACCCATCAGAGAGATAGCAAAAACATTGGGCGTGGCCAAAACAACTGTTTGCAACATTCTTAAAAAGAAGGAACGCATCGGTGAGCTCAGCAACACCAAAAGACCTGGAAGACCACGGAAAACAACTGTGGTGGATGACCGAAGAATTCTATCCCTGGTGAAGAAAACACCCTTCACAACAGTTGGCCAGATCAAGAACACTCTCCAGGAGGTAGGTGTATGTGTGTCAAAGTCAACAATCAAGAGAAGACTTCACCAGAGTGAATACAGAGGGTTCACCACAAGATGTAAACCATTGGTGAGCCTCAAAAACAGGAAGGCCAGATTAGAGTTTGCCAAATGACAAAAAAAGCCTTCACAGTTCTGGAACAACATCCTATGGACAGATGAGACCGAGATCAACTTGTACCAGAGTGATGGGAAGAGAAGAGTATGGAGAAGGAAAAGAACTGCTTATGATCCTAAGCATAGCACCTCATCAGTGAAGCATGGTGGTGGTAGTGTCATGGCGTGGGCATGTATGGCTGCCAATGGAACTGGTTCTCTTGTATTTATTGATGATGTGACTGCTGACAAAAGCAGCAGGATGAATTCTGAAGTGTTTCGGGCAATATTAGTCATATTCAGCCAAATGCTTCACAACTCATTGGATTCCGCTTCACAGTGCAGATGACAATGACCCAAAGCATATGCAAAAGCAACCAAAGAGTTTTTTAAGGGAAAGGCGGAATGTTATGCAATGGCCAAGTCAAACCTGACCTGGTTCTCGATTGCATTTCACTTGCTGAAGATGAAGGTAAACTGCCCCTGACAAGCAGGAACTGAAGACAGTTGCAGTAGAGGCCTTCTGAAACCCAGCGTCTGGTGATGTCTATGCGGGCAATCAGGCTTATCTGCAAAGGATTTGCAACAAAGTATTAAAAAGTGAAAGTTTGCTTCATGATTACTGTCCCATTACTTTGGATTCCGCTTCACAGTGCAGATGGACAATGACCCAAAGCATACTGCAAAAGCAACCAAAGAGTTTTTTAAGGGAATAGCAAGCGGCAAATGTTATGCAATGGCCAAGTCAATCACCTGACCTGAATCTAGGAGGTGTTCTAGCATGCATTTCATACCTCCTGCTGAAGAAAAAACTGAAAGTAAAATCCCCCAAAAAGAACAAGCATAAACTGAAGACATTGGTGTGGCGTAGAGATAAATACCCTAATAGAGCATCACCATAAATAATTGGATGAAACCCCTAAGTGTCTGGTGATGTCTATGCATTCCACACACTTCAGGCTGTAATTGACTGACAAAGGGATTTGCCGAAAAGTATTAAAAAGTGAAAGTTTGATGTTAATCCGGAAGCAATTAAAATTATTCACTGTCCCATTAAAAGTATTTGAATGCTCCCCCTGTATCCTCGTGCAAGTGTACCCGGAGTCCCAATATGGCGCGTGCGTCGGAAATGACGTCACTGCACCGGAAGTGTCGTTGTACCAAACGTTGCGTCACGAATACCACGTGACTTCATCACCTGATGAAGATTTGGGATTCGTGACGCAACGCGTTGGTACGCCCTGACGAAACTTTACGCAGTGACGTCATTTCCGACGCACGCGCCATATTGGGACTCCGGGTACACCCATAGCACGAGGATACAGGAGGAGCATTCTTGTTCTTTTAATGTGGACATGTGAGTGGACATTTTAATTGCTTAAATCTTATTGTAAACGTTACGGTATCACGCTATGGCAAGTCTCTCTTTAAATCTCTGAGCATCATCTGGTGGTCTAATACCACCACTATAGAGCAGCTGGATTTGGCATTTGGGAGCACAGCGTCTGAGGTGCATCCAGTGTGGACCTTATCGGCTGGCACTCGAGGATTACACCTATTAGGTGCAAAGGCGTATTGGCCCTTGTGGTCAGTGCGGGGAGGTGAGGAGGCATCTTACCATTTCCGGATTTAACCAGTGCACTGTGGCACTTTCACGCTTGTTCAAGATTGCAGTCTATAGTGGACTGTAATCTATGCACCTTTTGTTTAGGAATTTTTGGTGTTTTTTGTCATCATCATCGTATACATTCACGTGCCACCAGAGGGTTATGTTTTGTCATGATTCTGTATATTTTATATGATATGTGGAACAGTGGTATGTTCTTAGGCCACACCAATTTTTTCTTGTTTATACAGAGGGAAGGTGTGAGCCCAGGCACTGAGCCAGTAGGGAGTATGAGAAGTATAATTTCCTATTGAGAGAGGTGAAAGGGTAAAGGGTTGTAGGAGAGTGAAAGTAAATAAAGGAGTGGATGATGCAGTTGTGACACAGATCCACCATGTTCTTAGAATAGGGACATCTCCTGCAGTAATGGATCAGCTAATGCAGATTGCAGTGTAGTGACAGGGATTTGATGTCACAGCAGCCATAATGTTAGGCCACTGACTAGAGAGGAGGCATCTGATTATGGGCTTGTTGTACTATAATAGAGGAGTGCAGAAAGCGTGATCAGCGGTGTGCAAAGTCTCGTGCTGCTTGTGAAATAGAACACTTCCACACACTTCTGCTCATTGTCTGCGGACTGGATCTAAGGAATTGCTTCTCTCAATCATGCAAACTCAACAGACTGGGCTATACATGAGGCAGATAATGCCAGGCCTCCTTGCTGCTCGTTACCCTGTTGTCCTCATAAATAATCTACGCTTTTATAACAGGTGCACTTTAATCCAAAAGCTGGGATAGGTTACCCCCATTTCACGTGGACCCTTAACTCAAAGGCTAACTATGGCTAGATGGACAAAGTTTGATTTGCATAAGAAAAAGGTGACGCAGTTAAGTGACCATTTATGATCTGTGATCTTCCACCAATCAGTTGCTATTTTAAAGAAGGAAGTGTTCACAAACTGTTCTATAATCAAAATCATATAAAGTTGTGGAAATAAGTAACTACATGTGATAAGTTATAGTTGGCAAATTTAAAGGAATAAATACTGTACATCACTAATATTTCTCGCAGTTTGACTAATTTGGAGCTTTGTAATGTCCATGATCGCTCACATGATCACATTGCTATATATCGACCATGAACTAAACCAAGTAAAGATAACAACCCTCCATGTAGTTGACAGTCCATAATTTCAATATGTATGGTTTTTTTTTTATTTGCTACATTGTGCTTTCTCGTGAAATATAATACCCAGCTTGGATATATTGGTTCGTGAATATTGTGCGATATACTGTTTACAGGAATTTATATGCGTCCCTTTATCATCTCTTGCATTGTTCTCGTCAGGTTGGATAGAACATTTTACTAATAAGTTACTCGGTGGTGTATTGTGTTTTGTACCTTCAAACTTCTCTGAATAAAAAGTTATTTGACACAAAATTCCCCAGGTAACTTTAGCCTTATGGAAGGTCTGGGGGGTGCAATTATTATAACTGTATCAAACAATAATATCTAAAAATATCAGAATGAGCAGTTACAATTTTTTATGTTTCATCTCCGGTATCTTATGAACACCTTTTTATTTAACAAAGAAAATAAAAAAAGTAGAAAAAAAAAATCTCTCAATAAAACATTAAAAATGCACATTGGAGCAGGAGGCCATAATATTACATAATAAAACATAAAGATATATGTGTTTATGTATGTATGCATACATATATACATTGTATTGGGACACCTGCCTTTACACGCACATGAACTTTAATGGCATCCCAGTCTTAATCCATAGGGTTCAATATTGAGTTGGCCCCGCCCTTTGCAGCTATAACAGCTTCAACTCTTCTGGGAAGGCTGTCCACAAGGTTTAGGAGGGTGTCTATGGGAATGTTTGACTATTCTTCCAGAAGCGCATTTGTGAGGTCAGGCACTGATGTTGGACGAGAAGTCCTGGCTCACAGTCTCCATTCTAATTCATCCCAAAAGTGTTTTATCGGGTTGAGGTCAGGACTCTGTGCAGGCCAGTCAAGTTCCTCCACCCCAAACTTGCTTATCCATGTCTTTATGAACCTTGCTTTGTGCACTGGTGCGCAGTCATGTTAGAACAGGAAGGAACCATCCCCAAACTGTTCCCACATGGTTGGGAGCATGAAATTGTCAAAAATCGCTTGGTATGCTGATAGCTTAAGAGTTCCCTTCACTGGAACCAATGGGCGAAACCCAACCCCTGAAAAACAACCCCACACCATAATCCCCCTCCACCAAACTTTACACTTGGCACAATGCAGTCAGGCAAGTACCATTCTCCTGGCAACCACCAAACCCAGACACATCCATCGGATTGCCAGACAGAGAACCATGATTGGTCACTCCAGAGAACACGTCTCCACTTCTCTAGAGTCCAGTGGCGATGTGCTTTACACCACTGCATCCAATGCTTTGAATTGCACTTGGTGATGTAAGGCTTGGATACAGCTGTTCAGCCATGGAAACCCATTCCATGAAGCTCTCTACACACTGTTGTTGTGCTAATCTGAAGGCCACAAGAAGTTTGAAGGTCTTTTGCTATTTAGCTATTGACTGTGCAAACAGTTGGTGACTTCTGTGCACTGTGTGCTTCTGCATGCTCTGACCATTTACGTGGCATACCAGCTAGTGGCTGAGTTGCTGTTGTTCCCAGTTGCTTCCATATTGTTACAATAGTACTAACAGTTGATCGTGGAATATTTAGTAGCAAGGAAATGTCACGGATGGACTTATTGCACAGGTGGCAACCTATCACGGTACCACCACTTGAATTCACTGAGCTCATGAGAGTGATCCATTCTTTCACAAATGTTTGCAGAAGCAGTCTGCATGTCTATGTGCTTGATTATATACACCTGTGACCATGGAAGTAATTGGAACACCTGAATTTAATGATTTGGAGGGGTGTCCCAATACTTTTGGCAATATAGTGTATATATTAAAGTGTATCTTTTTTTTTCATTTTGGTTGGAGCACCTCTGTTTTTACCAGGTTTGTTTCATTAAGGAGCTTTCCCTTATCCTGTAGACTCAACAGGAGGTGAGAGGATATCTTTCAAATGTGATTGATATTCCTTCTTAGTTGTCCCAGCAACAAGTGAACTCATTAGAAGGTTACTCATTTATTTCTGTTCTTGGGGCAACTTAGAATTTTGGATTTACTCTCACTTTCATTCCCAGTAAGGCTACGTTCACACTAGCCTTGTGTGCAGGCGGCAGAGAGGCGTTTGGGAAGCGTTTTTACCGCTTCCCAAACGCCTCTGCCAACTCTGCACATTACAGCACATGGTGCTGTTCTAACAGGAGCGTTTGCGTCGCGTCGCGGCAAAACGGACGCCTCTGGTCGAGTCAGGAGGCTTTGAAGCCTCCTATTCTCGTCTATGGTGCCGCTCCGCAAACGCCCGGCCGGCGTTTGCGGTGCGGTTGCGACGCGGTTGCGGGGCGTTTGTGGAGCGGTAACACCACTCAAATGCATTATAGGCGTTTGTGGGGCGTTATTAACGCTCGGCAAACGCCTAGCAACCGCCGCTAAACCGCGCATGCGGCGTTTGCGGAGCGTTTCCCGAGCGTTAAAAACGCTCCGCAAACACCGGACCAACGCTTGCCAAACGCTATAGGGGCGTTTGGCAAGCGTTGGCAAAACAGCCTAGTGTGAACGAGCCCTTACATTGGTGAACAGGACAACTGGAGAGGGTGAATCCCTCTTATAGGCACATATACAGCAAAATTAAAAACATGAGCCGTAGAGGCGAGGTGCTAGACATGAATCTCCAACCCATACAGATGGAAATCCTTAGCTGTGCCCGATGGTTTAGCTTAGCTTGAGTTTGGTAGCTCTCCACAGGGGTAGAGGTCACCTAATTTGATAATCTTTGCATAATTGAGCCAGAAAGAGTGTCAAACAAACGATTCCCAAAAGTATTGCCACAAATAACCAAGATAAAAGTCACCAAATAAATATTATTTGGTGCTGCTTCTGGCTCAGTTTCACATAGTAATGAAAACCTCACAAGTGTTCTAATCCCTCACCACTCTATTCAAACCTTAAAATAAAAAACGTTTTTTTCCTTTTGTTATACTTTAATATAATACTGCTAATATAACTGCCAGAAATCTTCCTGGGTCACATACTGAGTGAATTTTTGTTGGAAGAAGTTGGCTCTGTGTATGGCTAGCTTAATATTTCAGCTACTGGAGGCACCAGGCACCCTCTGGCTATGCTCTCTGATAGGGTTGGGTGAATTGCAAGAATGACTGAACTTGTCAGGAGTTTCAAGTAACCAACGTTTTTTTTTTTAAGTGCGTATAAAATCCCAAACAATGATTTTCCCATATTTATTCTCTTATGTCTACCATTGTGAGCAGTTGGTTACATTTGTTAAACAAGAATGAAACAAAACCTGTTGATCCTACCAGAAATTGTGTGAGCTGATAGCGTCTCTTACTCTGCCTGTGCTGCATTGCTATCAATTACATTTTTCTTTGTTCTCCATGTGGACTATAGAACACCTTCTCCAATAATACGGAGATAAGAGATGTTTTTTTTTTTAGTATTTATTTCAGGTACTTATATATCGCCGTCAATTTATGCAGTGCTTTACATACATATTATACATTCACATTAGTCCCTAACCCACAAGGGGTGTACAATCTAAGGTCCCTAGTTTACATTCATACGTACTAGGGCCAATTTAGACAGGATCCAATTCACCTACCAGCATGTCTTTGGAGTGGGGGAGGAAACCGGAGTACCCGGAGGAAACCCACGCAGGCACAGGGAACATGCAAACTCCAGGCAGGAGGTGCCGTGGTTGGGATTCGAACCAGTACTGCCAGGCGGAAGTGCTAACCATTTAGCCACTGTGCTGCCCTTCTGACAATGACAATACTGCTCTTCTAAGGATACAGTAAGTGAGTGTTGTTCTATGACAGGAGGTGTGTGTTTGACAGGTTCAGCAGGTGGCAAAATGGAATGGTATGTGAATGGGGACATGTAACAAAGATAAAGTACAGTAGGTGGTATCTCAATTTAGCTGCAAAAGTGGAAATACAATTAAAAGAAAGAAAACTGATGCAGCCTCACATCTAAGAACAGGGGAGCTGCAGTATGTTGCATCTTTGTTCTTGGATTCACATATACTTTCTTTCTATTCTTTGATTTACAAAACAAATAAAATTGGTTTATTTTCCTGTAAGACGTATCTGGAAACATTTGTCATGCTGTAGTCTTGCAGATTCCTTTGGATCTGTAAAATGCCTTTTGTAATGGTGGTAATCCCATTGCAGCGACTGCATCTCACAAAGTCTGGGGACCCATCTGCAGCATGGCTCTAACAAGTTCTTGTCAGAATAATAGAGAGGGTATTGGATATAAATGGTGGCTTTGTGAGGAGATGATGATGTTTGTGGCTGCCACATCCAATATATTGTTACATTTCCCTGTAATGGCTGTGTGGCAGGCTCCTCTTTCATCGCTAATGCTCTTCCTGTGTTGACTCATTCACATGGGCTGGTATTTAGTGTGATTTTCTTTTTGCGCTTTTTTGCCTACGCTGATGAGCTTACAACCACCTTTCCACTTTTAGTATTTATATTTCAGTTCCCAGTTTGAAATTCAAATGATGTGTTATCTGTAGGATCACCTAGAAGTCTGAATAGATGTTTATGGTCATAGCACACAGTTCTCACTCCCTGGGGGCTGTGGCGTATGCAGAAGATTTCTGTCTGTATGGAACAAAGGCCAACTGATGTTTATAAGAATCATGTTCGGGGTGCGAGGTGCTAAATCGTAAAGCAGAATTCCACTCTATAAAAATTGTTCAATTTGTAAATATTCATGCAGGGCTTGACAAATTTGCTTTGAATCTAGGAGCCAGCTAAAAAAGTTAGGAGCCAAACCCCCCCCCCCCCCCCCCCCCCATATACTCATACTCTGTACTCCCCATACACCCCCATCTTCTCATACTCCGTACTCTCCATATAACCCCCCCACCCATATCCTCATACTCTGTACTCCCCATACACCCCCCATCTTCTCATACTCTGTACTCTCCATATAACCCCCCCACCCATGTCCTCATACTCTGTGCTCCCCATATACCCCCATGTCCTCATACTTTGTGCATCCCATACAACCACCCCATGTCCTCTTACTCTGTAGTCCCCATACACCCCCCATGTCCTCATACTCTGTACTCCCCATATACCCCCATGTCCTCATACTCTGTATTCCCCATACACCCCCCCTCCCCAATGTCCTCATACACCCCCCTCCCCATGTCCTCATACTCTGTACTTCCCATACAACCACCCCATGTCCTCTTACTCTGTAGTCCCCAAACAACCCCCCCCCCATGTCTTCATACTCTACTCCCCATACACCCCCATGTTCTCACACTCTGTACTCCCCCCCCCCCCCATGTCCTTATAGCATGAAGATGTGTATCATACAGGGCTCCCTTTTCACCAGGGTACCATCTCACCACTACTGCTTTGCTGAGCTGCTTTATAATTCAGTATGAAGCAGCTCAGCCTTGAAAATCTCCCCCCAAAATCCCCCCAGCCCGGTACTCCGTCCAGTCCCACAGTTCTCGCCAGACATGTGATTCTCCGAAGTGGTCCAGCACCCCCCCAGAAAGCAGCTCTCCCTGATGTCCCAGGCCAGTCCAACACACACAAGCTGCTTCCAGCCATACCTGCCAGGAGGATGAGCCGCTCACACATCATTGTCCGAATTATCCCATTCAGCCGGAGAACCATCCCCTAAGAAAGCAGCTGGGAGGGAGAATTCTGCAACCCCAACTCTCGATCTACCGCCTGTCACATCCTATTGGATATAGCCTTACACACCCACGAATCTTTATGGTACACCAGTGTCAGCTCTGTTGAGGGTTAAAAACAAAACAGTAAACCCTGCTGCTAAATGTAAAAAGAAATCCAGCTGCCCAGCGCCCGAAGCTGCATGTCCCGGGGGTCAGGCAATATGATATGAGCATCCCTGCAACAGTGAATGGGCTGACAAAAGCCCAGGTGCCAGGATGCAATTTCTATACAATATATTGCCAAAACTATTGGTCGGCCTGCCTTTACACACACAAACTTTAATGGCATCCCAGTCTTAGTCCATAGGGTCTCCGCGTTAATTCATCTCAAAGGTGTTCTAACGGGTTGAGGTCAGGACTCTGTGCAGGCCAGTCAAGTTCCTCCACCCCAAACTCGCTCATCCATGTCTTTAAGGACCTTGCTTTGTCCACTGGTGAGCAGTCATGTTGGAACAGGAAGGGGCCATCCCCAAACTGTTCTCACAAAGTTGGGAGCATGAAATTGTCCAAAATATCTTTGCATTCCGACGCCTTAAGAGTCTCCTTCACTGGAATTAAGGGGCCAAGCCCAACCCCTGAAAAACAACCCCACACCATAACTCTTCCTCCACCAAACTTTACACTTGGCACAAAGCAGTCAGGCAAGTACCGATCTCCTGGTAACTGCCAAACTCAGACATTTACGGATTGCCAGACAGGGAAGCGTGATTGGTCACTCCAGAGAACACGTCTCCACTGCTCAAGAGTCCAGTGGCGGCGTGCTTTACACCACTGCATCCAATGCTTTGCATTGCACTTGGTGATGTAAGGCTTGAATGCAGCTGCTTGTCCATGGAAACCCATTCTATGAAGCTCTCAACACACTGCTGTTGTGCTAATCTGAAGACCTTTAGCTATTGACTCTGCAAACAGTTGGCGACTTTTCTGCGCACTGTGTGCTTCAGCATGCGCTGAGCCTGCTCTGTCATTTTAGGTGGCCTACCACTTAGAAGTATTATAACAAAGTGGAAGCAACTGAGAACAACAGCAACTCAGCCGCAAACAGTTGACTGTAGAATATTTTAGAAGCAAGGAAATGTCACGGATGGACTTATTGCACAGATGGCAACCTATCACCGTACCACGCTTGAATTCACTGAAGTCCTGAGAGCGATCCATTCTTTCACAAATGTTTGTAGAAGCAGTCTGCATGCCTAGGTACTTGATTTTATACACCTGTGGCCATTGAGGTGATTGGAACACCTGAATCCAATGATTTGGAGGGGTGTCCCAATACCTTTGACAATAAAGTGTGTGTGTGTATAGAAGCAGCACATGTGACCCTTTGCAGGGGATAGCGTGCACCAAACAAAGAGGGTATTCCACTTATACCTAGAATTCCAAAGGAATGATGAAGCTAGCAATACACATGTGGAATGTGTGAACCATCTGAAAGTTGATCAGTGGGTGGCCTTGTGGGCACCAATCCATCTGACATTTTTGGATAGAAGGAGCTGGGGGGAAAATTGGTGACTGGACAGTACCTGCATCCATTCAGATGCAGGTGCTGTTCTGTTATTCTGACGGATAACACTGCTAGCTGTCAGAATACAATAGCTGCAGTGGGAGCTACAGTGAAGGAAATAAGTATTTGATCCCCTGCTGAGTTTGAATGTTTGCCCACTCACAAAGAAATGATCAGTCTAAAAATCGAATGGTAGGTGTATTGTAGCACTGAGACACAGAATAGCAACAAAAAATTCAAAAGAAATGCATGTCTAACAAATGATGCACTGACTTGCATGTTCATGAGGGAAATAAGTATTTGATCCCCTATCATTCAGCAGGATTTCTGGCTATCAGGTGTCTTTCAGACAGGTAACAAGCTGAGATTAGAAGCAGTCTCTTAAAGGGAGTGCTGCTAATCTCATTGTGTTACCTGTATAAAAGACACCTCTCCACAGGAGCAATCAAACAATCAGATTCCAAACTCTCCTCCAAGCTCTCTCATAGCACAGAGAAACCCAGTAGTGACATTTGGTCTAAAACACGGTATGTAATAAAAATAGGATAGGTTTCATTTAAAAATGTCATTAGCATGTTGATGGGGGGAGAAGGAATATAAGTAGATTAATTTTCCGAAAGAGAAGTTATATTTGTGGACTACAGCATACCTCCCACTTATGGTATGGAGATGAGGGAGGAGGAGTTCTGTAGTTCTTTCCTAGGGTGACAATGCTGCTTTGTCTGGATATTGGCTTGAAGAAATTCAAAATCAGATGGAATGTTGATAGGCCGAGGAAGAAACATCCTTTCACCTGATTAAAGCATGATTCTAGCGTGTATAGATTTCTAATACGGGTGTTTTCAATTTTCAAGCATAATGTGTGATGAATAATTTTGCTTCAATTGAATATTAGATGTATTGTACATAGTCAGATTATGAGAGTTTGCCTGCAGGTGTGTGCCTGTTGTAAATGGATACATACATGACTAGGGTTGTTGTCATTGTACCTTCTTCTGTGTGTCGCTATGATGATGGTGTCGGTGTGATGGTGACATGTGGTGTGCGCTCCTCTCCGGGGAATTGCAGGACATCCGCGGTTGTATTAATATTTTACTATATTGCTGGCTGCTTACACAGACGTGCTTTCCATGTGTTGTGCCGATTGCTGGGATAATGAAAGTCTCTGTTCTATGACCAATAACGTTCTGAATTGGATAATATCTTTATGTAGAACAAAGTTTATACCTCTGAAAAGTAATTTCTGCCTGCTGTCAGCGAAGGCCTTCATTATTCCAACTAAACATACAGTATATCTAAAATTATTTATGCAATCTGCAGAAAAATAAGTTAATCTTTTATTGCAAAGCAATCAGCCAGATGATGTGCTTCATCTTTCCGGGATACTGAATGGACGCCATGATTGCTGTGCAACTATTTTGACTTTTCATTGCTCAGCTCTTAAAGGAGAAGTACAGCCAAAGCTCATTTGTGTATGAATTTTGTTCTGCACTTCTGTGACCGGTTTGCAGCTGACAGCAGGCTAAAGTCCACTGTCGGCTGATGTCACTCAGCAGGTCCAGGCTGGGGAAAGAACACGACCATATGGAGGTGTCCCTCTTAGAACACAGTGCTTATTGATCGTGATTATAGCTGCTGACAATAATTGAATAATACATTCAACATGCTGGTTGTACCCAAGTGGTACAGCAATCGAGCTGGGTAAAATCAGCCTGCCCATAGATGATCTGAATCTCCGCCAGTCCCTGCTGAACCGCCTGAGATTCAAACCATCTATGGCCAGCTTTACAGGTACCACAGATAACAGAATATGGAGCAGCACCCTGATAATCATGAAGGGATCTCTCTTCTGGAAGTGTTGGGGGGGGGGGGTGTGAAAAAATGTATGTTGGGGCTTGCTTCATTACAAAGGTTAAATCAAAATGTATTCGGAGCACCCCTTTTTAAAAGATTGGCATCTATGAATGATGTAACTGCAGAAAGCCTCATGATAAAGACTTCACAGAGTTTCCAGCTTCTTTTTGTGGTACAAGATGCTGCCAGATTGTTCTTCCCATGATCCTTTTCTTTCAATTGCTAAGTGTTTGTGCGATGAATGCGTCACGCTGGAGTCGGAGCATTGTGTGAGATTATATAGAGCCACATGGATGCCGGTTTTGGTGGGAACTGCCTGAGATTGCTGGGCTCTGCTCCCCCACCACTCCTATTCCCCATCTCCTGCTCCAGCTGAATAACATTCTTGGCTGAATGCAGCTGAACGTGACCTCACTGCTCTCTGCATCCATTGTTGTGTTCACTCCCCCTGCTGCTGGAAGCTCCGCGTTCTCTTTCACAGCCTGTTTCCATCTCTTTTCAGCGTGTGAGAATGAAATGCGGGATGCAGCACTCTGGACAGAGCCAGGAACAGGCAGCCATACTTGTTCTGTGGATGCCCACTCAGCGTCACTGTGAGTCTGCATGAGCGCCTTTATCCTCCATGGTCTGGAGAGCCCTGTGAATGACATGTAGCAGAGAGGGTTAAACACACAGCACCTGGAGAGAAACCTTTCCTGTGTTTCCGGACTCTGGGAATCCACCCCGTCATCTCGCCTCTTCTCAAACTCCCCTTGTGCAAAGGATCTCACCATGATTCTGCTTTAGAAGGGAGCGTGTATTGTATTTTACGTAAGTACACTTTTTATGTCATTATTATTAATATACAGGATTTATATAGCGCCAACAGTTTGTGCAGCGCTTTACAATATCAGGGAGACAGTACAATTACAATACATTTCAGTACAGAAGGAATAGGAGGGCCCTGCTCGTGGAGCTTACAATCTAAAGATTATTGTAACGTTTGACATTCTACACATTTGCTCTTCCATAGTTTCATAGTAGTATTCCTTCACAGGTTTATTGGTCCTACTTCTAGTGCCTACATTCATATCTACTGTGCATTTGGCAGCCCTGCTGAGATTACAGGATAAGCCGCTGATATTGTTTTCACTCAGTATAAGCAAATAGATAGACTTGTATTCAGAGGGAACTGTTATGCACAATAACTAAGAAAGCGTCAAAGCTTGCATGTGTATTGGTCAAATATGGTTATTGTCTTGTACATATTGTATGCTTTATAATATAAGGGTTTATAAATCATGAACACATTGATTTATGTCTACAATAACCAAGCCTCATTCAAATATAAACACTGTAGATTCCTTTCCATAAGTGACTTCCAGATGTTTCCTCACCTTGGCTTCCTGATGTATGCCCAGGCCTATAGCCTATATAGAGGCCTGTCTATTTTATTTAATTTTATTATACATGTTTATATAGCCCCAACAGTTTATGCAGCAACTTTACATGTTGCATGTTTACATCATTCCCTGCCCTCAAGCAAGGAGCATGCAATCTAAGGTCCCTATTTCTTATACATACACGTACTAGTGCCAAATTCCCTGCCAGCATGTCATTGGAGTAAATTTGTTATTACAGCTGGTAAAATATCAGGACCTTGAGCTGTGTCTGCTAGTTTTCCACATTCTCCTATAGCTGCCTTTGTTTACCACATACCCTTATATTGGTCACCAGTATACATTATGATGTTTCTTAAGTAACTGAAATATTTGATTCATATATCATTTAGCACTTCATAAAGCTTTGATGGCAGTGAAACATTAAATGTTTCCATATTTCCTGGTGATAGTCTATTTCAGCCTTTCTCAACCTTTTCAACACAGAGAGACCCTTGAAATAACTTTCCAGTCTCCAGGAACCCCTGCTAAATATTACTATATCTACAGTTTAAGATACATTAGTGTGATGGTCAGTGGGAAGAATGCTCCTTACACCTGAAGTCATTGGGAAGAATTACACCCTTAAAGATAGCTATAAAGATCAATGGCGTCAATGAGGCAGAGAGGCAGATATTGCTCAAGGAACCACTAGCAAGTTCCAAGGGAACCCTAGGGTTTTATGGAGCCCTGGTTGAGAAACCCTGGTCTATTTGCTACCTGGCATAAATCTTTATCTCTTGACTTCCAACGAAATCCCCACACTTACCATTATCCTCATCTTTTGAAAGGCTCTGAGTCTAAAGCCAGCCATATATGCATCGAAATTTTGATCCATGTATATGGGTAGGCTGAGTGTATCCAATTCGATCCATTAGTTGACTTGGGTACAGCCAGCCTGTCAATTTATTTTTACATGCAATTACTGCCAGTGGCTAAAACCACTAGCAGTAATCATGTTCTGCCGGCCAGGAAGGCTCCCCGCCAGGAGACCACAATAGCACTGTGAGAGGGATTCCCTTATCAACACTGTTGATGGAGGAATAAAGGGATTTTCTTTCATTTCACCCATGGTGGAAGGAAAGAAATTTGAATCATCTATAGGCTGCCTAAGCTTGTGGCCCAGCAGTAAGTTTGTTCCCTGGGTTCCAAACATGTCCTCTCTCTGAGCCCCTGCAGCCCCTTCCACACATTGAACTGTAAGAGGGAGTTTGCATAGCTCTTTTCCCCTCAAAAGCAATGATAACTCTCAATACTGCAGTCAGCAAACTGCAGCTTTATGTCATATGATGCAGAGCTGGGCAGCCTCCCTCTCATGCTCCAATGTGTATGGACAAGGTAGGACAAGAAATCTGGATGCATGTGGTTTGTAATACTTGGATGAAAGGTTTGTTGTGATGTCCAAAGACTGACTATATTTGTTGCCTCTAGCTCTTAGTGTATAGCTGG